GTCAAAAGACAAACATAAAACTGGGAAATAAACATTAGCAATATTTTCCTCAGCACAATGGCCAACAGCTGTAATCCCAGCAGCTTGGGAGGCTGAGGCAGGAGGATCACAAGTTCAAAGCCAACCTCAGCAACTTAGCAAGACCCTAAACAACTTAGGGAAATCTTGTCTCCATAAAAAACATTTTTAAAAGGGCTAGGGATATGGCTCAGTAGTAAACTGCATCTCAGTTCAATCCCCAGTACAGTACCAACAAGAAAAAAAATTAACTTCTCAGAAATAAAATAGACCTACTCCTCTTACCTGCCATGGATCCAGCCATTAATCTGTGCACATGACCAGAAACTCCCAGCTTTGTGGTAATTAACTAGAAAACAAAAATACTGAATTAAATTATATTTTTTACATGATATCCATTTCACCATTTAATAATGAAGATTATCTAATTTACAATTACAATACTATATATTAACAACAATAAACTGAAAGTGTGAATGAGGGTAGTAGGAGTAAAAGTCCACTATAGGGGCTAGGGATGAACTCAATGGTAGAGTGGCGTGTTGCTTGACAAATGTGCACAGGGCCCTGGGTTCAATCCCTAGCACCTCAAAATGAGAGTTTAAAAAAAAAAAAAAAAAAGAAGGCAAATAAGCTACCACAGACAATGAGGCTTTGGTACAGTCATAGCATCAGTTCTGACTAACCACCTTGAAACATTTTTCTCATTGCTATCACTTTTCCTTCTAAGATAAGAGGCCTAGGGATGTATCTCAGGAATAGAGTTAGCAACACAAAACTTATGGTAAAGTAATTAGCTCAATGGTAGAGTATTTGCATAGCATGCAGAGGCTCAAGTTCCATCCCCAGCAAGGGAGAAAAAAGATAAATACCATTTGAAATGTAATCAATTTAACCCTTTTTTAATGTTAAGATAATATTTGAGGAGACAAACTTTTTTTTTTTTTTTAAATGGTACTTGGGATTGAACCAAAGGGCACTTAACCACTGAGCCACATCCCCAGCCCTTTACATTTTTTATTTTGAGGCAGGGTCTCACTAAATTGATTAGGGCCTCACTAAGTAGCTGAGTCTGTCTTTGAATGTGCTGATCCCTCTGGCTCAGCCTCTCAAACCACTGGGATTATAAGCATGTGCCACCATGTCCAGCCTTTCTTATTACTTTTGCTGTATTGGATTGAACTCAGAGACTCTCAACCAGAGAGCTACATCTCTACCCGATATCCATCCACCTATCTACCTACCTACCTACCTACCTACCTACCTACCTATCTTACTGAAATTAAGTAAGAAATTGAGTAAGATGCTTTGCCACTGAGCTACATCCCCCAGTCCTTTTTTTATTTTATTTTTTATTTTGAGACAGGCATTGCTAATTTACCCAGGCTGGCCTCAAATTTGTGATCTTCCTACCTCAGCCTCCCAAATAGCTGGGAGTACAGGTGTGTACAACTATGCGCAGTTTATTTTTATCTTTTTGACTTTTCTTCATAAATATGAACATAAAGAATATATTCCCCATTCCTTTTTGTTTAGAATCAGAATAAAGTTGTATTTCAAATATCTAAAAAAAAAAAAAAAAAAAGAATATATTCATGGGCTGGGGCTGTAGCACGTGTCTCACACATGTGAGGCACTGGGTTCGATCCTCAGTACCACATAAAAATAAGTAAATAAAATATTGTGTACATCTACAACTAAAAAGAATATTTTTTTAAAAAAGAATATATATATTAAGAATTGTAATGCAAAAAAAGAATATATTCATAAATGACTAACAACTATGGAATAGGTAATTCTAAAACCAAGTTATATTTACAAATTAAACATTATCAAATCTCATTCCTTATAAAGATATTACTTTATTCATTTATTGAAAGTAAATTAAAGTTCATGGGCTAGAGGTGAAGCTCAGTGGTAGAGCACTTGCTTAGCATGTGTGACTAGGTTCAATCCTCAACACCACATAAAAATGAAGTTATTATGTCCATCTACAAGTAAAAATTTAAAAAAAAGTATATAGTTCAAAGTACTAGCATGTGAGTTCTATCAAAGTACTGAGTTCTATCCCCAGCACTACAAAATAAATAAATAAATAAATAAAACAAAATTCAAAGTAAATGTCTGGTCAAGTAAGTATAATATTCAATGACACTAAAGAGAAAGAGGAAAATTCAACTACCGTTTTATACTGCTCAAATGCCATAAACTGGATTGCACCATAGGGAAAGATTCGAATCATCATTGCACCATTTCCTTTATATAATCCAAGGTATCCTTCCTTTTGGGGAACGGCCCGCAATGCAGAAAATACTCCTATTTTTAGAAAGATTTCAGAATAAAAATACAATTAAAACAGAAAATTATCTAAATTTGTTTTCATGACAATCATTGATAGAGATAACTAAGCCATCATTCATAAAATAATTTTGCTAAGAATTATACAAATGGCAATTTCTATATAACAGATACATTTACTTAAAATCTTAATTATAAAAATAAGCATATATCTTAGATTAGGTAGAGGGAAGTGAAAGGAGGGGAAGGCAGGGAATATGGAAATAAAAAAGACAGTAGAATAAAACAGACATTATTACTTTATGTATATATGTGACTGTATGACCAATGTGATTCTATAATATGTATACTCAGAAAAATGAGAAATTATATCTCACCTATGTATGATATATATGATATATATAAGTGCATTCTACGGTCATGTATAACTAATTAAAACAAAATTTAAAAAAAAAAGAAATATTTGTAGTGGCTATTGATCTATTTGGATGTTACATTTTTTTCTAAATAAACTTCTATAACATTCTTAAAAATAAGCATACAACATATCAAATATAAAGCCTACTATAGCAAGAACAGCTAAAAATTATTTTAAATTATTGAAAATTAAATTGAGGGGCTGGAGTGCGGCTCAGCGGTAGAGCGCTCACCTCGCATATGCAAGACCCTGGGTT